CACACACACACACACACACACACACACACACACACACACACACGCACAGTACATACATACATTGGGTAATGTATGTCGGAATACGCCAATCTATTCTTGCAGTTGTACATTTAGAATCCTAGTAAAAAGACTTCTTGGCCATAATTTTAGAGCAATCAAATAAAATTCAGTACCGGTAAGTACGATGGTTACTGAATGTGACAAAAAATGATTTGCAGAGAAAATGTATGCTTGCGAGACGATCAATAAAATAGGTTGACATCATTTACTCTGACAATTTGCGACCCAGTCTTTGGTCCACCCCCCTGTGTATTTACTCTCACAACAGACTGAACGTGAGATTCCAAAAGGGGTTCAACACAGGCTCTTCTAGGGCAGGCCAGGGAGCATACATCTGTGCTGCTTGACGCCCACTGAGAAGTACAAGCTAAGACTACAGCGACTTAACATTGAAGGATGTATTTTGGAGATCAGAGCAGCACACGCTGTGTACATAGCTGATGAGTGTGCTCAAGCCGATGTCCTATTAAATGGTGCGAAACCACACTGGGTCACACTCCAAAGAACATCACATAGACTGCAGGTACTGGCATTTCCAAAACAATGACATTAGTGGGGCTGAATGAAGTTGACATTTTTCTCTTTTGTGTTTGTGTTTATAACTGTGACCAACTGGCTGAGCAATGAAACGCTGACACATTTCCGACAGGCCATATATCTTGACCTAAATTTTGGTGCAGCAGACCTGACGGTGATGTCAGGGATTGTTTTTCTTCCCTGTGTTTTTCTTACTGCTCTGTGGTTAGGGAGACCCCCTCTAACCATCAGTTCATCCGCCTTCTCTTCATCCAGCCGGCGCAACGCGGCAAAAACAACAGTTCATTTCGTCCGGGCTTCCCGGGCCTGAGCTTATGTCAGAATAATCTGTCCCACATTGCTGCAATGGCCAATTTGTCAATTCGCTGATAAGACACAAATGTGTCTCACTCCATGTTTCACTGGAGTCTTGTGTTAAAAATAAAAAGGCGCCTCTGAGCATTCTATGGCGGTGTCGAAGCAGTCGACAGAGATTTCAAAGGCTGCCAGTTGATATGTGTATTGCTCACACTCATTATGGCTCTGACAAGGGAAAAAAAAGCAGAAAATCTCTCTGAACAGACAGATGGCTGGAGGGAACATCCTAATCAAAACAGGAATCTTAAAAGGGTGTCGCAGATTAACAGAGCCTATGTGAGTGATTGGCTTTGATTCCAAATTAAATAGTGCCCAATTCCGTCGCATCTTTGCCATGGTCACACGACATACACGTGACCGATGAGAACCAAATTGTACATTAAATGTTGCTGTTTTGTTCATGGTAAGTTTTGGTGCAATTTCAGTGAAGTGGATTTACAGTAAAATCCAGTTAACAATACATCTGCGAATGCACAAGCTTGGACACATC